ATCACCGGTATAGGCCGTTGCGTTACAGGCGCCATCCAGTATCAGGTAATACCTCACAGACTGAATACAGGAGACAATTGCTTCGGCAAACCGAACGTCATCTAAGCAATGATGCGCACGAAGTTTATCAAAAGCCTGGTAAACGCGGCTCAGCCCGGCACTGTCAGCAGAGCGCAGTTGCTGATAAACGCGGGTGATATCTTCGGCTCCGTTAATGGCCGTTTGCATACCCTGATGCCTGCGCTCAGACCGGTTTACATCGGAAGCCAATACATCCAGCCTGATTGAAAAAGAAGAATCATGATAGTCCTTCCAGCGGATGAAATGGGAGATCAGCCTATCGTCAACCGGGCGTTGTTTATCCGCGGGAATGATGGTACTGGTGGTCTTCAGGGAGTCATAACCAGCTATAGGTTGCGGGCGGATGCCCGGCGGAATACGTCCCAGGAAAGCAGTCACTAATAAAACGAACAGTGCTAAAATCCCCAATCCCGATAAGACTTGCCGCCCTCCTCGAAACAAGCCAACGATCAGTGATTGCAGCAGGTACAGGATCAATACAAATGCAACAACCAGGAGCAAGGGTATAAACAAGGCAGGTACATGCGCCAGCAGCCAGATTGCGGTCAGCAGCCAAATCACGTAACCCACCACAGCGCTGCAACCATCCGCCCCATACACCTGTTTATATCCTGTAGTTTTCCGGTTAAATGTCCTGGCTCTTTGCGGCGGTGGCTTGGGGGGATCTTTTATAACTGACCAAGGCCCCCAGTAGGTACTGCAATCCGTATGATAAAGCTCTTTACGGATAAAACGCCGGCCGCCTTCTTCTTTAAAAGACACCTGGCCCGTCTCCCCGAAACATTGGGTATCGTTGACGGCTAAGACAATCTCTTTGACCTGCGGGATATAGGCATACAGGATTCCCTCCAGGGTACCAAATGACTGATCTTCTTCTTTCTGTGCATGGGTAATGACCGGCTCCGCTACCCGTATATCTTTTAGCTCCAGCTCATAATCTTCTTCCACGCCGTCTTCTCCGGTGATGGTGCAATGAACGGGTTGTTGGACAGGCGTGCCAAACAAATCGGTCTCTTTATAAACGCGTTGAAAATCGGCAGCGATATTTTGTTCGGTGCGGAGAATATCTTTTTGTTGTATGAAGACATGTGCACGGGTAGGCTGTATGAGGTAGGCCGCATCTGCTGCTGGTATAGAAGCACCTTTTTCCGGCACCCGCTCGCCGGTGTATTTTATAATGATCCTGCCCTGCACATAAACCTTACGCTCCTCTTTGATTATACGCGTAGTTGTGCTTTTCTTCTTATTGTGCTGCTTGATATTGCTAACCCTGGCTACGGCCTGTGCTTCCTTTTCCGCTTCCTGCTGTAGTTTCCGGCTTTCATCATAAGCACTGCGGGCAAAATCATCGGACAATACTTCGTAAGCTTCGTTGATGATCTTCAGTTGCTCTTCGGCATCAGGATGGTCGGGGTTTCTATCGGGGTGATGCAAATACGCAAGCCGCCGGTAAGCCGCCCGGATCACCTGGAAGGAAGCGTCGGGAGCCACTTCAAGGATCTGATAATAGTCCAGCAGAAAATTCATAGCGATTATTAAAGAGGTCCGTATTTATCCAGAAAGCTGTTATTGCTGGCATAAGTCCTTTGTGCTTTACGGATGGTATTAAAGGGTGGATCTGCAAAGGGCGTACTGTACCTGATGTGCGCAAATCCGCGTGTTGAAAAAATGCGGTGGTATTCTGATAGGAAGTCTTTAAACTCCCGTTCAATATTGCTGCGCTCCTGTGCTCTTTTTGCAGCCAGGTAAGGATCATCAGCAGGCAGTGAATAAATAAGGTAACCCGGCAACAGAAACAAACACATGACCAGCAGGCATACCAGCCAGGCAATAGCATTACTACTGGCCAGCGCCATTCGCTGTAACATATAAGCAGACTGCTCAATCTTTGCGGCTGCCTTCGAAACGGCTTCCTCATTACCCTGATGAATAGCTGCGATGCGCTGCTGTAATGATTGTATCGCGGCGCTGCTACTGGCCGTAGGATACAATAAATATTGTTGCTGTTCCTGCTCCAGCCTGCGCTCTAAACGTTGTATATCCGGAAGGTGAATATTGGCCACCTGCCTTGAAAAGCTATGGACCAATGAAGCTTTGTACCGGATAATATCAGCTTCATGATAAGACGACAGTACATAAACCTCCACCGGCTTTGACAGCACAAAAGCCATGAACAAAACGAAGGATACGCGGCTTATGTTGGAAAGGGTAAAAGAGGTGCCTTTGCCTGCAGCTGTTTTGGTAAAGGTGTTGATCAGGAGCACATACATCAGGAGGAAGAGCAGTGTGAGATAAGCACCTAAACACCATTCTATGATCAGCGAATGGAAGAGTACGCTCATGGCATAATACACCGAACAGAAGGCAAGTATGCCGATGCCGGCCAGCGCAGCGATCGCACCTTTATAACGCTGTATCGCTTTATGGGCGCCGCATTGCCGCATCAACAGATAATCAGCACCGAGCAGGGCAAAAGCTTTTTCGTAATTCATCACTGTTTTATCTTTAGGGCAACTGCTTATTGTTCTTCTACAATAAATTTCTCTGGAAACTGTTCTGCCTCACTCATCTTTT